ATATTTAAAGAAAATATATATTTAAGAAAAAAATAAGAATGATTATTGCCAAAGATAAGAAGACTAGAGATTCTTCAAACAAGGTAAAAAACAAGAAAGGCATTACAAGAATGAGAACAGTTTTACTCTTGCATCCATTTAAAATATCTTAAAAAGAGGTTGTATAAAGACATTGTATAAATTATTCAACATATATCCAACTTATAAGATATGTATCTAATTATCATGGACATAATCAAAATTTATAATTAACTAAATAAGAAGAATTAGATAGAAGTAAATTAAAATAGATAAATTTAATAATAACTTTTAAAAAAGATTCTTATAAGCTTCATAGACACTATCTTGAAAGTTATTGAGCATCCACTAAGCATAGAACTTTCTATTATGATAGTTATTAATGCCTTTGTGGATCCACTTCAACAAATTATCAATTCTACGTGATACTCCTTTCTTATATGAATTGATTTATTCAACTTTGATGTCATGTAGTTCACTTTTTTTTTATCTTCTATCTATAAAATTCTAATATTAAGTGAGAAACAAGCCTTTAAAGTTGTTGCTTCAAATATATAAGCTCCTTAGACCTTCTTTACTTCAACATTCTCAACTCCTTGATTTGGTTAGTTCTTTGCATGAACAATTACACAAAAGTACCTTATCTTATCTTCAAAAATACTTCAAATGACCCTCTTTAATAATAATTTTAATTAAAAAATATAGCTTAAGAATAAAAATATAATTTTTTTTATTTTTTATAAACTCAAAGCAAAAGATATAATTATTAAAATTAGTACATTTCTTAACTTTTCTTAGTAATCTTAACACCTTTAAACCTTTTAAGCACTTAAAAATACTTAAAAGACATCCTCAAATATTCAACTTAATACCAATATAAATTCCTCACTGCTAAATTTTAAGCTTATTTAACTACTCTCAAGCACAAGAATTCACCAATGAAAGCCATCATATATCGAGCCATCATAAAAAGTCTCTATAAAGTTGGTCCAATGAAAAGCCACCACATGGTTGAACAAAATTTGTTCTTGTTTGTTCCAATAAAAAGCTGCTACTTAGTCAAACAAAAAATTTGTTTCATTCAATTCAATGAAAAGCTACTACTTGGTCACACAAAGATCCTACCTCATTTAGTCCAATAGTTATTCCATACTTAGTTGAACAAGGATTTCTCCACTTTTAGTTCAATAATTAATCCAAAATTAGTCAAAAAAAGACTCTTCTTTAGTTGTTTCAATAACAAGCCTCTATTTTTATACTTCCACCTTTCAACCTAATTATAAACTAATATTTATCTTAATTTAATCAACCAAGTCTTTTCAAATGCCAATCTAATCACTATTTAAACCATATTTTAACCAATAGTAATAACATAACAACTAAATAAACATTATACTAATATCAATCCAACTATAAACTTAAGCTAATAATAAATAAATATAATTATATAAATTTTAATAATAAAGAGGTCTACAATAATAAAAATTTAATTTTATATGTATTTGTAGGTGATTAGTAGGTTGAAAATTTAATCAATAAGCTGGCTATATATTGCATATGTAAGAAACTTTTCTTTTAAGTAAAACATGTATCTTATAAGTTAGAAACATGTTAGTGGTCCTATAGAATATTATCATGTAGTTCCTAGTTAGTTAATATATATAAAGATAAGAGTGAAGCTTTTTTTTCTTTTTTCAATATCTTTCTTATTCTTAGTCTTATTTCAAGAGTCTAATTTTTTTGTCTTTGATAGTAAAAAATAAATTTGATAATATCTTATAGAAAAGCTTTTGAGAGGCTACATAGATACAAATTTGACTTTATACATGTTTATGGGTGATTGATAAGTCAAAAACCAAGCCAATAAATTGGCTACATTTTACACATATTGACAAATTGTAGTACAAGTTGGCCTCGTGATGTACATAATAGAAACTTGTCTTGCAAGTTAGACATGGATATCTATTAGAAACATCTATATTTATTTTGATAATTACCTAGATAATATAAAAAAATATAAGTATGTTAAAATACATAAATTTGATAATATCTTATAAAAAAGCTTCTTAAATGCTTTTTAGACATGGCTTTGTTTTTATACATGTTTATAGGTGATTGATAGATTGAAAATTTTAGCTAATAAATTTGCTATGTATCACACATATCAGTGACTTATGGTACAAATTAAATATGTGGTGCATATTTAAGAAGCTTGTCTTGCAAGTTAGACATGTGTCTTGTGAGTTGAACACATATTAGAGATTCTATAGAACATCGCTACGTAGCTCCTAGTTAGATAGTATATATAGAGTCAAGAGTGAAGCCTTCTTCAATCTTGTCAATTCGTTTCTTATTTTTAATCTAGTTTTTCAATGATCTCTAATTTTTTTATCTTTTGGTAATATTCATTTTAGTTTTTTCTTAAATATACATATTTAATTATTTTATTTTTTCATATTTCTTTGAAAAATGTATCACTTGTTTATTTTCATTCATTGAATTCTTATCTTTGACACTCTTGTAAGTTAAACACATATTGGAGGTCATTTAAAATATTATTACATAACTTCTATTTTGATATTATATATAGAGGCAAGAGTGAGGCCTTTCTTATTCTTAACAATATCTTTTTTATTCTTAATCTTATTTCAAAAGTCTTTAATTTTTATGTCTTTTATAGTAGCCATTTTAATTTTAAAATTTTATTATGTTTAAATAAATATCTATTCTTTTCTAGTGATATAAGAGTGCATTGATTCTTTGATTTCTTGTGAATCTTGTCCTTGATACATGTTCATCTTTATCTTCAAACAAAAAAATACCATTAAAAAAAAAATCTTAATATAATGAATTATGTGCCCTACCTTGACATCATACATCATAAGTACCTTACATTGCAAATACATATAATCTCTCTTAGAGAATCACCACAATTGAAGTCAATAAGCTCTATTACAAATGCTAGTATATTATAAAGTGTCTCAATATTAAGCAATGGATAATTGACTTCTATCTATATAATAATTAATAAGGACTATATTATGTCAAAGTTGTCTGCTTTCTAAAGTTGTAATCCATCATAATCTACTACAACATTAAGTTTCAATTACAATGATTGTCATAAGAAATCCCTACTTTCATAAACCATGCTTGAAAATTTGAATAACTCAATTAGTCAAGTCATTCACCACAATTGAAGTTAGTAAGCTCTATTACAAATGCTAGTATATTATAAAGTGTCTCAATATTAAGCAATGGATTTTTAACATCTCAAGATGATTTTTAGAGATGTTGCAATAATCTATCAAAGCTTTAATATACAAAGTTTTAAAAGTTCCTTAGAATTCTTTCACTTGATTTGTTAATACTTTAGAACATGCTCCAAAATGTATCAATACATAGTCATAAAAAGCCATAGTTATTAACTTTAAAGACTTTTGTAGCAAAGCCATAGATTCAATTTACTTGCTAAAATGGTCCAACATTACCAATACATATTTATCTACATGTGGGATGACAATAAGTAGTCCAACAAAGTCCAAAGATCAATAGTAGCTCAAATCTATAATAGACAAAGGGCTCAATTAAGGTAATAAAGTGTTAAAACTTGACTTGACTTGACTTGATTACATACTTCTCATCAAAAAACTAATGTAGCAACTTGTTCATACATGCCAATCTACCAATATTGATTGTATAATATAGAATATCTCAAGCATATCCCAAAATTTCTAAGTTCATGTACTTAATGCACCAAGGAGGTTCTTTGGTTTGGCTTTAGAACTATGTACACATCTTCATTAAATCACATCAAAAATAACAAATTATTCTTCATTGCAGCAAAAAGCCACATGGTACTTAATGCATCTCCAATGCAAGATAATACCATTGTCTTGGAAGAATCACACATTAAGGTATAATGATGTGGGACATGACATGGATAAAGGCTAAGATCACCCTCTTATGTGAGGAAGTTAGAATGATCTCTGCATATAGGAAGTAGTCCACATCAAAATGAGAAGTTCAACCTCAAAAACTAGTATGCAAAATGTTAAATATTGATGCACGACAATACCTTAGTTTAAGCACAAAAAATTGTCAGAACTAGTGTAGTTAGGAAGAAATTAGTATCTAAAAAAACCTTCAAATAAAAAAGTAATATTCATGCTAATTTGGTTTTTGATGCATAGAGTTAATTTTGCATGATTGTTAAAATACATGATAATTAGGTATTTTAAGTTTTAGACCTATATTGTTTCAAAATTTATTGATCAAATTCAACTAACTATCAGAGAGCAAGAAATACAACCATTGAAGTGTCATTCTACACATTACATTAATAAAATAAAATTACAATAAAATAAAAGTGCATTTCTTGGAGACTGTCACTCAGCTTTGAAAGTCATATTTAAAAAATGCATTGAGTGATAAATAATTAAAATAAAATTACAATGCAATTATCATAATTTAGGTTTAAAGCAAGTCCTTGACTGAGGCAAAGAAGATAAGACCCTGTGATTGTCAATGTACACTTTCCTACATGGTACATGTGTTTATTATCTCCTTCGCCTCAGCCGAGGACATCTTAAATTAAAGATGAAGTGGCAAGGGCATCCTCTCAAAATCCTAATAATCAAGGGCAAATAAAGTGCGCTCTCCAAGAACAAATTGAAATCAAGGGCATATTACTGGTTCTAGCTAAGACTGCAGTAGTGGGTTAGGTCACAGAACAAGGTGAGAAGCATAAAAATAATTTAGTGAAATTTAAAAGCCAAAGTCTAATATGTTGACAAATTCATTTGTAAATGGACCTAATCTTGAATTTTGAAATTGGAAATAAGTAATTGGTCTTTTTAGACAAATTGACCTCTTTGCATAGTTGAAAAGTCTAAACAATTAAAATTGCAAGTGCTTTAAGTTTTCAACTACAAAATTCCCCATTGTGAAAGTTTACGAACCAGAAAGATGACTAGTCAGCAAAGTCCAAAATAATGGCCCCCAGTGTTGCACAATGTAGTAACACCCCAAAGTGATGAAAGCAACGCAAGGGACATATTTAAGCATCTAGAGGATACAGAGCCGTTTGTATTCTGCGAAGGGCGACCTTGATACGATCTTTGAGGTTCTCATCCTTACACTCGATGCCTCTTTTCACGTGATCAATGGTTGCTTCAATGCCATCAACATTCACAGTTAAACTTTGATGCTCCTCATCTAGTGTCACGTCTCCAAACAATGAAACTAAGAGCGAGTGGACTATCTTAATCTCCTCTTTCTCTAATCGGGCTTCTTTAGCCCGTCCACCTCCTACTGCAAACATGGACTGCGAATCCAACTTCAAAATCATCGCCACCACGGAATCGGCTACCATATCACTAATGGGGTCCGAGACCCACTGTAGAATCACGTAATCAGCTCCCTCGTGAGTTACCGTGAGATTTCCATGCACTTTCAAAGTTGGACTATCTGCCTTCGTTACAACCTCCACTTGTTCATACATTTGCTGGAGCCGGTGTCGGAGCACGGTGAAAGTGCCCTTGTAAGGAACCGATTGCCGTTGCATAACACTGCCCGTGGAAAGTTGGGTGAAGCTGTGCAAGTCATCTGGCGCCATCAGCTGATAGGTAAAGCCTTTCCGCACCAGAAGCCCACTCACAATGTCGCCTTCTTTTGCTGACTTCTCTGCAAGACGGCCCACTGCCTTGGCAATTTTCTCCCCCTTAAAGAACATCTCCACGGTTTGACAGTTCTTTGGTGACAGAATTTTCACGTTCTGCTCTGCAAATTGCGTGATCAGCTTCGCTTTCAGGCGACCCATTTCGTTGGCCTCTCCGTGGACTAGAATGATGTTCGGAGGTCTCAGCTCATGCAAAAACGCATTTGTCTGGGTGAAATCTGCGTGAGCAGAAAATGATATGTAATGTACGCGCATGTTCAGAGGCACCACCAAACCACTGAGAAGAGTCACCTCCTTGGGCTCATTCATGATTGCCTTTGCGAGAGTTCCCTCAACCACGTAACCGGGAATGATGCAAGAATTCTTCTTGTCTTGGCACCAGATGTCAAAAAGCTGTCTTGAGAGCCCGCTCTGAAGACCTCCAGGAGACGCCATCACAACAGCAGGGCCGATGTCATCGAATCCGTCAATGTTCTTCAGCGGCTGAATGTGCTTGAAGTCGAAGGGGTTCGAGACCTGCTCTTGAACAAGTCAAATGAAAACCAATTCCAGCGAGCGACATATGCATGAATTTACCAAAAAATAGTTCAGGTAGTTGATAGCATGACGACCCGAAGCGTGAGTGAAATGAAAGATGAGCAAGACAAGATTGAAAAAAAAGTAAAGATCACCGAATTGAATCGAACACATGATGAAACCACTACGACACCGTGCGCTGTACTTATCAAAAAAAGACCAAGAAACCAACTGTTCGCCTCACAGTGCCGGCTTATGAATGTTGTGAACCCTGTTGACGTGATGTTAATGACATATTGTTTACAACAGGATGCCTCGTTTATACCTCGAAAGATTTACCTCATAGGTGAAATGGAGGGCAGAATATTAAAGAGGTGAAACCGCACCTCAAATTGCTTCTGGATACGATCGTTCATAGCATTAATGTACGTTTGATATACTGCCATACATTTCTTCGCAAGAGGGGAGGCATAATAGATAGGTATGTGTTGAAGCTCAGGATGCGCCTCCCAATATTCATCAAGAATTAAAAGCAGTTCTTGAGCTCGTCCCAAGGCGAAGGCAGGAATAAGGACCTTCCCGCCCTGTTCAAAAACCATCCAGTGGGTTAACCACAAATCATTCGAGAACAACAGAGGTATTGACCAAAAGGAGATTAAGATAAGTGCTTCAAAACCCATTCTGTACCTGACTAACAGTTTGAGCAACGGTATCAGTGAACCTCCTTTCTCGCATGATTCGTGGCTGGTGAATTTGCACACCGTATGTTGATTCAATAATGCACACGTCTGGTGAAAAGTGTGGCATTTCAGCAGCACGGAGATGGCGATCCTCCTCACATGAATAATCCCCGGTATACAGCACTCGCATGCCAGCTATGTCTACCATGAACATGGCTGCACCCAATACATGGCCTGCTGTATAACACCAGAATCGAATCCCATTGACTTCCATAGTTTGATGAAAATCAATCACCTGTCATCACCAACATAGGGTTATACAACCGCTTAATTGCAAACACGATGCCGCTGTTTTAGGAAGTACATATCAATAATCTAGTAAATAACCTCATCATATAGACAAGGTAAACCCATGGAAACCTAGATATCCAAGAAAGCCTCTATTTCGGCAGAATATGACAGCTCGCTGGGCATGCACAAGGCAATGCACCAGCGTCAGAACATCACCAACCTCAATTTTCTCCATCGTCCGTGCAATATCATGTTCATCGTACAGCATGTCATCCACTGACACTTTACTGATTTTGACAAAATCGGATAGAAGAAGCTTGTATATGGCTTTAGTGGCGTGTGTCATGAATACTCTCCCTTTAAAATTTGTCTGTCATCCATGAAACCATGAACACTGAGATTCAGAAGGACTGTATTGGGTCAATGAAAGTTATTGTTGGACAGCACTACATCACAATATCATCGTTACAATGGTATAGACTCGCAATACTTGCAGTCTGACCTTCTCCAAGAAATAAGGAAGTGATGCACAATGATCGAGATGAAAGCTGCACAACGCAAGTTTAAAAGACTGTCAAATAATCATAATTGCCAAGAAACTGCAACCACAGACATCCGTACCAGAGTTACTGCCACGTCTCAGATTCATGATAACCGTTACCTCCAACTAGAATATGCCCGAACACCAAACAGCACTTGCTCAGTAAATATCAAAACGGTACAAACAAAAACATAGACATTGAAAATCAACACAAACTGTAAATATTTATAGAGTTAAGTAGTCCACAACAACCTCAGAAGGGTCGAGACCATACCACCACGATCACGATCATACAGTTATATTCTAGATTTACATGAAAAGAGAGGACTATTCAATCACAGCATTCTTCCCGCATACACAATAGATTAACATAACTACTAAACCCCAATCCTCGCTGGACGAATTGAATTAATGAAACAAACAGAAGTTGGAAAATTCATAGTAACTCACTGCGTCACGAGTAAAACATCTATGCTGATAGGATCTATCTCATCGAAGTAGGGCAGCGCTGCCATGCCAGAGTAGCCAGGATGGATTCCACAGTCAAACTGCACACGTACAAAAGCGGCATGACACACAGCACTATCTCTGATCGGGAAGCGAACTACAGGTTCCTCTCACTCTAGCAAATCAACTCTACAAAACATTAACCCTATCAAACCTGAATTGGTGGAGGCTCACAAATACTGGTATGCATTTTACATGGATGAGGAAACAAAATAGAAGATTACGGCAGTTAAACACATCTCCTCTAATCCTAAAACTGACTATGAAAGAGAAGGCCTACAATTTGAGTGCGTACCATCACAGTCTTGCCCTTGTAGGTCATATAAACACACGAACGCCCGACTTCATTTCCAGCACCGAGTGGGGTGACCTCCAGCTTGTCCCCTTCCCGTGACACCACTGTAGTAGGATCCTTGCGCTTCGACATGGCGTCCTCACTCACATGCCTCGATCAACCTGCCCATACCACGCAATTCAGAACACAGCAGGTCAAGAACTATAACCACGACTTCGAAAACACGACCCACCTCGAAAAAAACTCAGTTTGCAAAATTTGCAAATCTCTTTTCCAGAATGATTGAATGACAAAGCACGAAACTGATTCGAAAATTCACTCGTGAGCATTGCAACTCGAACAATACCTCCGCCAATGTCGACCCGCAACAGGCTTCTGAACTGCAAAGCAGAGCACGCAGAGTGTGGAAACTGATCCTAGACACTCGCAAAGAGGAAAAATTGGTGCCAAAACCGATGCGCAGCGAAATCCACCTTGCAAAATCTGTCGTGGAAGGTCGTTGAGGAGTTGAATCGGAGGCTGGTGATCGAAGAAAAGTTTCGATGGGTCTCGGGGAAATGGCTCTGCAGCTAAGTCTGCTTCGCGCGGGTCGCACAACCCTCCCGTTGCAGCATTGCACGGGTTTTCTTTGAGGGTCTGACAGTAGACCCCCTACGCTACGACCATCCACGCCGGCTGCCCGAACTTCGATGCCCGAATCATGTGTCTGCCCGAAGCATTGCAGCCCAAATCATCAAATGGATGGAAAAAACGCAATTTGGTAGGTATTGTTGCATTGCAAAGTGGCTTTGCAATATCCCATGTAATTGTGCTCTCTTTCTTTATGGGCTTTTCATATGGGTTGCTTGATTATTTTCTTCTCGTTCAAGAAAAAACAGTTTTTTAAGAATGGGCAGTGTTTGTGGTCATTATTTTGTATTTGGTGTTCTTTCATTTGGTTGTGTTTTTTCGTTATAAATATTTTGCTTGAAATAAAATTTAAGATTGTAATTGGTGTGATGCAAAAAAGAGAAAAGAAAAAAAAAATCAATTTTAGCCTTTTTGCTCATGTGAGCAACTTTACTACAATTTATTGCTCAATTTGACATGTATCACAATTTAATAGATAAGTCTCAATTTTTTATTTTAAATAGTTGAGTATAATTATAAAGAAATCATTAGAACAACAAATTTCTTTGTTAGTGAAATATTTGATAAATTTAATAGCCATACATTATATATATATATATATATATATATATATATATATATGTGGATAATTAAGATTATACTATTTTCTTCTAACAAATAAATGAAACAATCTATTGAAACATGTCTTTAAAAAATAAAATTCATATTAAAATAAAATCATTTTAGATTATAATTAAAAACAATTGTTGAATGACAATGCTATAAATGTTTTAGGATGTATTGTTGTAATTTTAAAGCAAAATTCTGTTATGAACATGCCTTTCAAAGTAATTTGTATATATACTATAATAATATTAATTTATAATTTTCATAAGTAATGAAAGAATACAATATTAATTTAAAAAATATATACTGTGGTAGCAGTATAAGTGTTTAAAATATATTATTTCATATTCAATTTTTTAGAAGAAAATTCAAAAAATAATGAATATAAATAAGTAAAAAGTAGTAGTAATATTGGATAAATGAGCATAATAAAATAAACATGTTTAAAATAAACTTGAAGTTCCTAAATTTGAGTATATATATATATGATATTTTTATCAAGAGTTGCAAAGCGGATCTTCACTGTCATCTTTAAAAACATAAAAATAAAGATTATTATTTTTTTGAGACTTAACATTCTACCAATTCTATCCATTTAAAAAATAACTGTTAAGGTAAGATTGGGTATTCTAAAGAAATTTATGAAACAGATAAAGAAGCATATGTTGATAAAAACGAAATGAAAAAATGGTAATAATAATAATAATACAAAAATAAAACTTATTTGAAAAATTGACCTCTTTTTTATATTATTGTCGTATGGGTTATGTTTTTTTTATTGCCTGTTGTGTCAAAAATTGTTGAATAAACTTTTTTGAACTTATTTTATTGAATTATTGATGTAGAAAATTAATTTAAATATTTTATGTGGTATTATTGTACTATTGTATTAGACATGTTTTTATTTCGAACAGTGAGTTGTTTTAATAGATTTTAAACAATGCATCTTTGTTTATGAAAAAAATCAAGTATAATAATAGTTATAAAAAAATTCCAATAAGACACTATTTATTAACATTTATCTTCTTGAAAATCCGAAATGTTTTTATTTATTTATTTATTTATTTAATTCCAAATCTTATTTGAGATGATTATATTATTAGAAACTTTGAACTTATATAATATAACTAAATTCTATGTTGATATTTTATACAAACAACTTTTGTATTGTTCATTATCATTTGAAAGAGATTAATATATATATATATATATATATATATATATACATATTTTCAGGCTAATATATACTGGTTTCACTTTAAACAAATTATTTTTTATATTTACAATATATAACTTCAAAATATTCAATTGAATATCAAATTTATGTGAAACAAATTAAATATAAGGATCACTGATGATTTTTAGTACTATTCTAAATCCTTAACATAGAATTATAAACATAAAATTTTATTTATTTATTTATTGATACTTAGAAATATATGACAAAATTCTCATATTGTTCCAAACACAAACATCCAAATTATATTTTACAAATCTTAAATATAAATATATATATATATCCTTATATTTTTATTTATTATTTATTATTTGTAAAATATTATATAATTAAAGTAATAATACAAAAATTCAATTACATTAAATGCTCTAACATCACTTGAATTTATAGTATTTAAGTAAGAACGTGTTGAAAGTAAACATAATGAACAAAATTCACAATTAATCAAGACGGTGATTGATGAAATAAGTTATGTGACTCGTTGAGTGTACATATATATTAAAATTTTATTTGGTGAAAGGTATTAAAAAGAACTGTGACATTAATTAGTGTAAATAACCTAGTTACAGTGATGTTCAATAAATGAACCCATTAACTATTTTCAAAATTTGAATGTTACTAATGTATCAACATGAAATAAGCTCTAGGCAAACATTGACACTTGTTTAAAGGAGATTTGTGCTTCGGTAACGTGCAATTATCCAGTCTACGATGGCGTTTCAGCAATAAGATTGCAGCTGTTAGAGAAAAGGTGGAGTTTAAATCGGTCCTCAGACAGACAGACAGACACACGGAAAACTCAATAAATAGGAAACACGTGAATTAGTAATCGAAATGAGAGAGAGAGGCCTAATTCTGGAGGTTAGAGAATGGATGAATGATCTCGTTCGTCATGCCGGGGGCCGGGGTAGTGGAGGGGGTTGGAAGGTTAGGGCCCGGCCCGGGCTGGCCCCTTGAGGGGGGTTTGTGTTCTCGCCGTTCCTCGCATTACCTGACCCGATTGCGCAAGTACCTTCCCAACCTAGCTAGGTTTTTCGAGCTTCACCCCGTTTGCGCAATATCGTTGCTGCTGTAGTCCGGCATGCTTCCCCGCTCAGGATTCCACACTCTTGTGCCGCTCTCCCTCCTCGCCGAAGAATCCTAATTAGCGGTGGTCGGAATTGTGTCGTTTCTGTCTAATGGAGCAGATATTCCATTCATGAGTTTGGCGTGATATCACAGCTACACAGGAGTGCGCTTGCACGGATTCCGCATCGAGGATTCTAGTCGATTGTAAAGGCATCTAACATGGCTGACTCCGGGGACGAAGATGAGGAGGAGTACGAGGAGGAGGGTCAGGATGAATACGAGAAAGATGGATTTATTGTTGATGAAGAAGAGGAGGAGGAAGAGGAGCCTGAAGAAGAACCACAGGAGAGTAGCGACGAGGACTCGAAAGCCAAGAAAAAAAAGCGCAAGAAAAGGTTCAAATGTTTGCGTTTCCTAAGTATCACGTATCGTCGTAACGTGGCATGTTTTGGAAATCCCAAGCCGTTGGCGGAGAAGTTTATCCTGCGCATAATTGAGTTATCATATGTCCGTTTGGTGCATATGTCTGGGAGGATCTGAGATTATGTCATATTATGTAGGTTAAAGTGTCTGTTGCTCGATGTGCGAGCATCATCCCATTTAGCGTGAAGCTGGTTCTTACGTGTTTAATTATTAATCTTCACAGAGGAGAAGAGACATATGAGCTCGACGAAGATGATTACGATCTGTTGCAAGAAGCAAACGTTACTGGCTTTCATCGACCTCCCAAAGCAGTACGTTCCATTTTCTCCTAATGCACATTGCATTGGCTTGCAAAAGATGCTTAGTTTCCTAAATACCTGAATATGTTTCGCCGATTAGGATGGTTGCTATACGAATCTGGGAACAATATCTTAAGTATTTGACTTATTTCGCTTGAACTCCACGTTCTATGTGCCCTCGTGCCTTGTGTATGTACTTTGATACTCTACTCCTTCTGTAGGATGGAAAGACGAAATTTAAACGGCTCAAGAAGGGTGGAATTGGTGGAGAAAAAGGGTCTGGTGGCATTGGATTGTCAGACGACGACGAAGAGGAAGATGGAGGTGGTAGGAGAGGTCGCACAGCAGAGGAGGAGCTTAAGAGGTCTTTGTTTGGAGAAGACGATGGTACGTTGAGCTACGAAGAACTACTTTTGGTGCCGAGTAATATTTAGAATTTAGTTTTGGAAACTCTCATGGTCATGTTCTTCTCTTTGTATATTATCTTAAAACCTAATTGTCGAGTTCAGAGATATTCATTACCTTTTCTCAGCCAGGAGGTGTGGGGTCATTTTGTGGCAGGGGCTGCAGCGGAGGACGTGGTTGAAGAGGAAGAACTGGACGATGAAGAGGAAGTCGACGAAGATGAGATGGCTGATTTCATTGTGGACGAAGAAGAAGAAGAAGTTGACGAGCATGGAGAGCCTTCCAAGTAATGTTCATTGCATAGCTTTTTCATTTCCATGTCTACACTGGTTTCTGTGGGATTTTGTACGTTGTATCACATGATTGATGCGGCTTTAAGCTTCGTTCATGCTGCGAAAATTTCATGTGTGCATGTTTAGTTTGCACTTTTATTTCGTGTTTCTGTATTAATTTTTTTAGTATACAGACACAGGAAGAAGAAAAAAAAGGTGAAGAGAAAAGACTTCAGGCAAGCTCCAGGAATAAATTCAATAGCCCTGCAAGAGGCTCAGGAAATTTTCGGAGATGTAACTTCATTGTTGGAGGAGAGAAGAAGACGCGAAAGGGATACATTAGCTGGTGTAGATGACGAGGATAGAGTTGATGACGACGACGACGACGGGTATGGCCGGAGCCGAAAGCCGCCAAGTCAGAAACTGTTGGAGAAACAGTTTGAACCAAGTTTGCTGGAAGAAAAGTTCTTAACAGAAAGGGACGATCGTTTACGAGAGACAGATGTGCCTGAAAGACTTCAGGTAGGTTACTACGTTCATCTCTCTCTCTCTCTCTCTCTCTCTCTCTCTCTCTCTCTCTCGCTCTCTCTCTCGCTCTCTCTCTCTCTCTCTCTCTCTCTCGCTCTCTCTCTCGCTCTCTCTCTCTCTCTCTCTCTCTCGCTCTCTCTCTCGCTCTCTCTCTCTCTGTGTGTATATACATACATATACATACATACGTGTGTGTGTGTGTGTGGACATGTACATGTGTATAAAATTTTAAATACATATGTTTAAAATATAACTCGAAGGACTCTGGGAATTTTATTTGGTCACGTGTTTTTCCACGCTTACTATCTCCTCATGGTGTTGTGCAACAGCTTCTAGGCTTACTATTTTGATTTGGACTGCAGATTCTGGAAGAGGCAGTTGGTGCCTTGCCTACTTCGGACTCGGCAATAAGACAGGCTGCTGAATGGATTTATGATAGAGCATTTGGCCACCTTGCAGTGCCAGTTCGCCCTGAATTTCGGCACCTTTCCAGGGATAGAGATCTTATTTCGAGGCAAATTGCTAACGTCTTGCATCTAATACATGATGATAAATTTGAGGTATGTTTTAGTTTATACCAACAGTTTTCCTTCACATGCATTGATACTTTAGGAACTCTTATATTGATGATCGTAGAAGCAGGAGATGGCGTAGGAGAAGATGGCTAATCAAGGGTTGCTAAGATAGCTCTTGGATTTATGTTCGTGGAACAGATTCCGTTTATTGCAATGTATCGGCGAGAAGAGTGCTTTGATCTTCTGAAAGAGGCTTCGGATGATTATGAAGACGAAGAAAGGCCATTAGTTCGTACTTATGCGGTATGTTTTCTTCCCCTACTCAGTTAATTGATTCTTCGTTAGTGGCCTATATGCTATATTCTATGTAGTTCAATCCATTAACCTTTTCAGGGTTTAATTTCTATTGAGTAGATTGGGTTGAGTTGGGTTTTTGTGCTGGAAGTTCACAACCTCTAGTTAATGAAAATTGATATGTAGTATTTTGCATTTCCAATTTAAATTGCAATCTTTTAATTTCAAGAAAGGTTGATGCTGATAACGTCCGTAATTTTCCTGTTAACATGTGATAACATACGACATTGAGGCTGATAAAATGCATTGTTGCAGGCACTCTGGGCAGTTCAACAATGGGACAAGAAGTGGCTACTACTGCAGCGCCGGAAGACGGCACTTCAAGCTGCTTATGAGAAGCGCATTCCTTCAGATATTAGAGACGACCCGGAAAAAGACGAGCTTGTTGATAAAATTCTTCGTGCACTGGCAGATGCCCAGGCAGACCAAGCTGTTGATGATTGTGATGCCAAGTTCAATCTACACTTTCCCCCTGATGAAGTTGAGATTGTGGACGGTGGGTTCAAGCGTCCAAAGAGACGGTCCCTCTACAGTATTTGCCGTAAAGGTGGTCTAGGTGTTGTTGCGAAGGAATTTGGATTGGCCCCTGACCTGTTTGGAGAGAATCTGCAGGCTACTTACAAGGTGACACTTTGTTTCTCTGGAGTTCGGGTTGCATGGATAAAATGTTGACTTTCTCCATCTTTTCTTGCTTCTGTTGGCGTATAAGGAGTTGTGATGAATGTGTTACTAGGTTCTAGATCTCAAGGAGCTTGGTGAAGAACTTCAGAAGTTTCTGTCTGTCTTGTTTATAAGAAATTCATTCTTAGAACTGTCGGAGACAATTAAGGAAAGTTTTATGTGTCCTGCATGTGAGAATATCTCAGCATGCCTCAACTAGAAGCTTTTTCTAATCGTATTATCATTGGAATTCAGAGGCATGATGTCGAAGACAAGCCTATTTCTCCAGAAGAGCTTGCTGCCAGGTTTTGTTCAACGAATAGACCGGCAAATGAGTTTTGGGACGTTCGATCTGTATTGCGGGGTGCTAGACACATGGTAAAGCCCCTTAACTTTGGTAGTTTAAGTATATTACCCAAACTTTTACGACATTAAGTTCAGTTATTTTGGACGTATACGTGCATTCTAGAATCTTGCATTCTCTGTGAAGGTTCCATCAGTTGGTTGGCAGATTGTCCCTGCATTATTTTGTAGCTGCAACGTATTCCATTACGTTTTCACATAGAATACTTTCTTCTATGAGTGGTGCAGGTAGCTGTTGAAATCAGTACAGAGCCTGCAGTGCGTGAGTATGTTCGGGGTATCTATGCTGAGAGGGCTGTGGTCAGCACACGACCTACTCCAGATGGGAACGATGCGATTGACTCGTTCCATCAGTACGCTGGTGTGAAATGGCTATTGAACAAGCCAATTGGTGCTTTCGATGATGCCCAGTGGTTGCTAATTGAGAAAGCTGCGGAAGAGAAGCTTCTTACGGTCACAGTTAGCTTACCAAAAGAGCCTATTGCGACTCTGATGCAAGACTGTGAGACCTTATATTTGAGTGATGGTGTGAGCCTTACAGCGCAGCAGTGGAATGAACACAGAAAGCAGATTTTGCATGATGCTGTGGTGACGCTTTTGCTTCCAGCCATGGAGAAAGAGGCTCGCATGGTACTAACAACAAGGGCAAAGCAGTGGCTGTCAGCACAGTGTGGTTTGCAGCTATGGAGTAAAGTTTCCATTGCTCCATATGTTCCTCCAAAGGCTGGTGATCAAGATGAAAGGTCTGTTGAATTTCTCGGTTTCTGTACTCTTGTCCTCTTCCGTCTTTATTCTATCAGTCTTATATGCTAGTCATTTGATTCTTGTACATAAATTGGTGTCGCTTGGGTTGGCTCTACAAATGACACAGTCAAATATTTGTGGTTCCCTCATAAGACTCTTAATTAGTTGATAACTTGCGGACCCTGAACCATTCATTACCTTTCATTTTCATCTATTTTTTAGTTTGTTTTATTTTTATTTTTATTTTCACTTGAATAAAGAATAGAAAAGAAAAGTAGGCATCATTTCAGAAGAGACTGATTTGCGTGACGGGAATTGATTCCAGGATTGATGATGGTCCTGCGCTGCGGGTGCTATCATGTTGTTGGGGCCCAGGCAACCCAGCGACTACTTTTGTAATGCTAGATGCAGCTGGGGAGGTTATGAACGTTTTGCATACTGGGTATCTGAACATGAGGGCTACGAGTGCCGAACAAAAGAAGAGGAAGGAAAACGACCAAGATCGCCTGCTTCAGTTCATGCGAGAATACCAACCCCATGTTGTTGTCTTGGGTGCTGCAAATTTGCAGTGTCGTCATTTAAGCCAGGACATTTTTGAAGTAAGGATGCTCTGTGTACAGTTGCAAATTGTAGAGCTATCTTGGTTTCTGCTGCTCCAAACACGTAGAAAATGTACTCGAGAGGTAGACTGCAATCTTCATTTTTATTGATGAAGTAATTGCACTTAGTAAAAACCCTTACAATGCGTTGTAGAATTGAATTGGAGAAGTGAATTGGGAGTGGGGATGGAGATATATGCGTCACCAAATCACTTATTGATTCATTACAGAATATTAACTTACATTCTGTTAACTTTATACATCTTCCAGGTGATTTTTAAGGTGGTTGAGGAGCATCCCCGGGATTTAGCAGAAGGGCTGGATATGATTAAGGTGGTGTTTGGAGATGAGACCATTCCTTCTCTGTACGAGAATTCAAGAGTTTCTCAAGAGCAGCTTCCTGGGCAGCCTGGTATGCGTTTTGACTTGCTTCTGTGTAGATTTTTAACGCTCATACTTGTCAATCTTTTTATTTAATGATATTTGTGGTTTTATGGTTGATGGTTTTAGATTGAGCACGTTGGCGTGTTTTAGCAATATTGAGGATGAGCATTTGAACTGGTACAACTTCATCTTGTTTTTGCCACCATGGTAACCCTACAAAGTCATGAAATTGCAGGCATAGTGAGACGAGCAGTTGCCTTGGGCCGGTTTTTGCAAAACCCTGTGACCATGGTTGCTTCTCTATGCGGCCCAACAAAGGAAATTCTCTCATTAAGATTGCACCCTATGCAAAATTCCTTGACAAATGAGGAGTTATATGAAGCTGTTGAACGTGTTATGGTTACTGTGGTGAACCAGGCATGGTTGCTCTCACTGTTCATTGTGATTTGGTTCCTTTTCGTTGATTGATACTTGCTGTGTGCCTAGTATATCAGCTATCATTGTTTTTCTACACCTGAATCATCAACTGTGGTTTCTTGATTTTATTGTATTACGACCATGCCTTAGGGATACATGAGAGAGTATACATCCTCGAATTTGATTGTATGTGCATCCTCTCTTTAAGTGGAGTGGGTTTGAATGTCCAGTACTGATTTATTATACGCTCGCCAATCTGGTGCATTAGCCGCTCACAATTATTGCAACTATACGTCGACTTCTTTACTCAAAACATGTTTTGTACCCGTCTGTAATGTATTCAGGTTGGCATCGACATCAATTTGGCAGCCTCACATGATTGGATTTTTGGCCCTCTTCAATTCGTTGCAGGTCTTGGCCCTCGCAAAGCTGGGGCCATTCAGAGAGCCATCCAAAGTGCTGGGCGTGTAGGGACGCGCAAAGATCTCTATTCAAGTATACGGGTTATGGACAGAAAGGTTTTCATAAACTCTGCAGGTTTCATCCGAGTTCGAGGCAGTGGGCAAGCAGCTTCGGGGATGCAGCATTTAGACCCACTTGATGATACTCGTATTCATCCTGAATCATATCAGGTATGTCTTTAATCATTCCAAATGACCAAGTTTTGTCTTGAATCCAGCATGTTGTATTTCTTTTGTGCTCAATCTTATATTATTGCTAAGCCTGTGTATGGGATCCTTGGTTCTTTTACAATTCACGTCACCTGTACTATGGAACAGTATATTTATTCCTTGACGTCTACATTCTTATTGTGTTTATTCCTTCTTTAGAACTATTTTCGGATACTGATATGCTCACTGTAATCGTTTTGAATGAATCAGATTGCGAAGAACATGGCAGAGGCTGCTTTTAAAGAAGAGGCCATACAAAATGATGAAGAGGTTGATGAGGATATGCTGGAAATGGCTGTGGAGCACGTTATGACAAATCCTGTTGTCTTAGACACCATGGATGTAGAGGAATATGCTCGTAGTACACAAGGTCGTGGACAAGGTCGAAAGATTCCTACACTCAGGCTGATCAAATCAGAGCTTCAACACGGATTTCGGGACTGGCGCAAGCCATATGCGGAGCCATCTGAAGAGGAGAAGTTCTATATGTTGAGTGGAGAAACTGAAGAAACTTTGTCCTGTGGTCGCATTGTGAATGCGACTGTGAGGAATGTGCAACAGAACCGAGTCATGTGTGTCTTGGAATCTGGGTTACTAGCGTTCATACAGAAAGAGGATCTTTCTGATGATCGTGATGTGGAACCCAGTGACAAAGTCTCAGAAGGCAGTATTGTGACTTGTCGGGTAAAAGAAGTGAAGTTAGCCAAATTTTTAGTGGATTTGACCTGCAAGTAAGTGGTGTCTGAAGCCCTTTGTTGAGGTCTTTGTAAACGTTGTTGAGGGCCAATTCTAGTTTCGTAAGGTGAATTTGTCAGAGGTACTGCTCTAATTAGGTCTGTAATCGTTAGATTGTGCGATTTTTGACATTTTCATATTGCATTCAGGTTTAGTACAATCTGACGTATTTTAGTCTTCTTCAGGTTCGCACTGCCAACAAGGTACAACCAATCTTCCTTGGAAGGATCTGTGATTCACTTTCTATTTTTCTGATTTTTGCAGAGGGAGTGATCTCAGAGCGGAACATTGGCGCCCCAGGGTGCAACCTGATCCGTACTATCAACCCGACACCACATTCTTACAAAGGGAACAGGACAAGGTTCGCAAGAAGAAAGAAGAGGAGAAAAAGAAGGCCTTCAAGCCTCGCATGATTGTTCACCCATATTTTCAGAACGTCTCTATTGATGATGCGATGAAGGTTGTTCTTATAACCATAATCGAACACTTCAATTCAATGTGTAACTGCCGGTCTTGTTCATGGATGGATTCTAACACTTCTACAAGAATTTACGTTCATGTTCTTAAGTTTTCGGTGCGTGTGTGTTTTTTTTATTTTTGGCTGTAGGAAGAAATTTGAGTAAGCTATGTTCTTTCACCTACGTGATTTAGTTCATATTTCATTGTAAGAAGATTGAACATCCGGAAATTTTGCAGGCACTGGCTGAGAAGGACATTGGTGATTTTATTATTCGTCCCAGTAGCAGGGGTCCAACCCATCTGTCTATGACATTGAAAATCCATGATGGTGTGTTCACACATATAGATATTGCTGAGGGAGGCAAGGAGAGTCGCGATCTTACAAGCTTTCTGAGTCTCGGCAAGACACTTACTATTGGAGAAGAATCTTACGAAGATCTTGATGAGGTTTGCGACTTCACTTCCTCTTGCGACCTTTTCAGATGATACTCATTTGAAGTGCACATCCATCTTACTCTGATTCCAATTTTTTTTTGTGCCACAGGTAATTGCCAGATATGTTGAACCTTTAGTTGGATATCTGCGTGAGATGCTGCGGTATCGAAAGTATAAACAAGGGACCAAGAATGAAATTGATGATCTACTACGTGCTGAAAGAGCGGCAAATCCCAAGCGTATTCCATATTATTTCTCTGTAGCCCACGAGCATCCTGGGGCCTTCATGCTTTCCTATATACGGGCTGTAAATCCTCACCACGAGTACATATCACTATCTGCTAAGGGTTTTCGTTATCGGAAGCATAATTTCGAGAACATTGATAAGCTTGTTGCTTACTTCCAAAAACATTTTAACGATCCTCTACCAGAAGCTCCCAGAAGAGCAGTTGCTGCTATGGTTGCTCCTCGAAGCCCTAGTAGCTATAGTGTAGGTAGTTATGGATATAGTGCAGGCTCTAGGAGGCCTTCTGAGTCGGGTGCCTCTGGCTTTGATTCAAGAAACAGTCAGTGGGGAGATTCCAGGGCTGGCGGTGGAGGCTGGGGCAGCAGTTCAGGGTGGGGTAGTCGTGGGAATTCTGGATGGGACAAGGCAGTTGTTCGTCCAAGTGGAGACAATAGGGGGAGTACAAGTAACTGGGGCCCTGAACCTTCTCCTAGGAATAATTGGGATAAGAATGGAGGGGCCGGGAGGAGTGCTTGGGACAATTCTCAACCCGGCGCCCCATCTCAATGGGACAATGTGACCAATTCGGAAGGTGGCGCAGCAGGGGATGGATGGGCTGCTGTTCCTGGTGCTACTCCAACATCTGGATCTGGATGGGATGCTGTTCCAGGAGCTACCCCAACATCTGGATCTGGATGGATGCCAGGTGGCCACGCTGGACCACGGGGATTTTAAACTGGGCTATGTATAGACCGCGAATTTTGCTTAGATGAAGCCAGAAACGTAATTTTCTATGTTTCATGTTCCATATCATTGGAAAAGTGGAGTGCTGGTGCTCTCCACGACACAAATGTCCATCTTTCGGAAGATAATCTATATTTCGGTGGAACTGCATTGATTTACATACCAGATTTCTTGATTTGCTCTGCTTTTGCGGCATTGTCAACTGTTCTTTCGTTGTTGTCCACTCTTGCGGGGCGCTGTGTTGCAAAAACAAAATCTTCGAGCAAATGTGGCGACTTCCACTGAGTTGCCGATATAATAATCCTAAGGTGATTCGAGCAGTGACCTGACCCAGTATTAGCAAGGCTCCACGCTCATGTACGGGATGGAAAATCTGAGGCAATCTGTGCAACTTTAGTAATGTCTTGATAAGCTAATAATAAAGGAGAAAAATTGGATAAGCATGTGGACAGGTTTACCAGAACGTTTATTATTTACAAGCAAGCCTCATTGACAATCACTGGTTCAACTCAATGATATAAGTGTATGTCGGTATATATATTGAGTGTATATATGGTTCTCATGTTTAGTAGAATTCTTAGAAGGTTTATTGATAAGATAGATTTAATTGTATTGAATACTATCTTGTATTTGTGGAAACACTTCAGTAATATGTATGTAGTTTGAAAGTTCTTATAGAAGCAACTTTATAGATTTTGGTAAACATGTGTACATATGTATGTTAATGTTGATTTTTCTGTTATCAAGAGTGGCATGTAAAAGCTATGATGATTAAAATCCTCATTTTGTGTTATCTATAACAATAATAATTAGTAAAATTTGCACTGAGAATTATCAGTTCAAAACTTTAAGATGGAGATTTTATTTACACTTGACATGAAGGGTCAAGAAACAAAAAGAAGGTGATTTACTTCTTTGTCATATTTACTCTTCAAAAAGTTGTAAAAATTGCAATTATTTTTGGGCTTGTAGCATACCTCCCATGCTTGTAATATGGATGGATGAGGTTTTGGCTTTGCCTAAGCTTTCATTGTTTCCCATTTTGCTTTGCTGTTTTTGTATGTTTGCACAATGGTTCTGTACTCTTGCCTACTCAATGTATGTGCTTATATCTATTGTATTGTCAAGGTTGTTTGATTTAGGCATGTTGGTGCATATATAAAAATACCTAGATCTAGAGGATTTTGTTAGGATAAAAATAGAGGATTGTTAAATCAACCCACCCTTTTCCTAAAGCAACCAATCCAAACAAGAATCAAACATGATGGGTCTATCACCTTCTCAAATCAAGCAAAGATACAAATGTGGAGCCTACAAAGCACCTCCATCATGGCAAACTCCTTACGCACTTTCACAAAACAATGAAACTGATCATACATTCCTCCAATTTAATAAAAAGGTGGATTGATTTAAAAAAAGAATGGATTAATTTAACAATATTTTCAATTTATAAAAAAATCTTATATATTAAAATCAATGATATGTTTCTATATGCAAGATGGTTCCATTTGTGAATATTATGTGATGGTTTAATTGTTAAGTTTTGTTTATTGCACTTACAAATCATTGAAGCTTTACTCATTGTATTGCTTTGACTCATGATGCCAAAATGCCAAATCTTGAGCAAAATGATACATCTATAGCAACATGGTACAAATTGATATCAAAATGTTAAATCCTAAATGTTTGATGTAATTTTGAAGATAAATACATGAAGAATAAAACACATGCTATTGCTTTAGAATACCAATATTAATTAGAACCAAACTTTAAAAAGTAAAATATTGCTAAGTTTTTAAATTAGATATTAGTTATTACACATCTTGGTTGTGTATGTAAAGCATTTTAGAAGTATTTAAAACATTTATCATTGCAATTATAAAGAAAACATTTGAAATGTTTAATAATATTTAAAACATTTGAAATAAAACATGGTTTAGTTGGATTCCATCTAATTGTCAAGGACATGAATCTCAAAGATCCAAAAGATCAATACACTCTTATGTCACTTGAAAAGACTAGATAATCACTTAAAGATGGTATAATATTAAACTTGAATGGCTATTGCCAAAGACAAGAAAATTAGAGTTTCTTGAAACAAGACTAAGAACAAAAAAAGGTATTGATAAGAGTGAAGAAGGCTTCACTTTTATTTTCATATATACTATCTAACTAGGAGCTATATAGCAATGTTTTATAGGACCTCTAACATGTGTCTAACTTCCAAGACACATGTTTAACTTACAAAAAAAGTTTCTTATATGTGTGCCACATAGTTAGCTTATACTACAAGCTACCAACACGTATAACATATGGGTAACTTGTTGGCCAAGTTTCTAACCTACCAATCACATGCAACCATGTCTTAAGTCAAATCCTCATCTATAAAGCTTTTAAGAAGCTTTGCCATAAGATATTATCAAATATATCTACATTTATCCTTTGCATAATACTTCTTATCTTGATTATATATATATATATATATATTCATAACACTAATATAATGCACAATATCAAAATGCCAAAATCTTCTTCAATTTTAAATTAAATATGCCAAAAGCTAGTCACTTCTTTGAATACACAAAATATTTGTGCTAAATATAATTGTTGCTTTAGAAACATCCAACACTTATTGAAGAGAAGATTGGATTGCATCTTAAAAATTAATAATATTGATTATTTATTTATTAAAATAAGGTATCTTTCTTCTACATTTTTTTTTATCTATCTATTATAAAATATGTTATTAACAATGTGCATTATAAGACACAAGAAGCACCATAAAGAATCCAAAAAAAGAAAATTTAAAAAGTTAAAAATATTAAAAAGAGAACGAATATAGATATGAATTACTATATAAATTTTTTAAAAATAAAAATAATAAGAAGCAACATCAAGAAATGACAAAGAGTAAAGCAATTGATGTATCTAGACAATGGTTATAAAAAAATAGAGCAAAACTATAAGTACAAAATACATTGCCAAATATAAGAAGATGAAGAAGTAAAATACTTAAGAATTAAGAATTTAAAGTTTTTTAGTTCTTGTGTTAAGTTTTAGAAATCAATCCCATTGTGATTTATGCTAAGCAAGTTGAACTAATATTGATAATTTTTTGCACAAGTTCTTATTTATTATTTTAGTTTAAAAGATGAATAACTTTGAAATGAATAAGCATTATAATAAATATAATTCCAATTTTTTAAATTTCAGTATTCAAATAGATGTTATAAAAACTAATATTAACTGCAATAATAATTTTATAATTCTCTTGTTGAATCTTTCAAAGTTTATGCCTCGGTGTTATTAGCAACAAAAAATTATATATTAACCATGTCTATTTTTATAATTATAGTTTGCTTTAGCATATTTGGAATCACAAAAAAATTTAGCCTTAGAAATTATATAGAAAAACATTTATATTTTTTTTTCATATTAAGTTATTTACCATCTTGCAAAAACTTTGATATTAGCTAGATATTAAGTTCATATATTTATTGAGATTAATTTTATGGTACTGCATTTAAATATAATATAAAAATTAAATAACCAAATAAAAATAAATCCTATATATATATATATATATATATCCATACAAAAAATCTATTACGTAAATTCTTTTGGATAATACTTTATATTTGTTGATGTCTAAGTCTGCAACTTTAACAAATAAAGGAAAAAGATATTTAGATGTATTGCAATTATTGGTGATGGGAGAATTGCATGTAAAGAAATAAATATTATTTTCCATGAAAATATTATAATATTCCTTTATAAATCAAAAAAATATTTTATTTGTATGATGTTTTAATATGTCTTATTATTTTTAAAATAGAGATTATAACTAGAGATTAATAAAATTCTAAAAAAGGTTTAAAAACAAGAAATCTATGATAAAAATGAAAAGAAAGATTTAGAAATAAATGGAGAAAGTCAACCAATATATAATAAGAAGTGAACACAATAGCTTATGCATCATAATTCTTATATTTCTATAAGTTTAAATATAGCCATATTGACTAATATAGAATATTTTTTAAAAAAATATTTTTTAAATAATATACCAAATTTTATTTTAAATAACTCTATTGGCCTAATTTAATCAATAAAAAATTTAAACTAACTTTTATAAAAATTAACTAAAGACTTATAAAATGACAAATATTTATTTGATGGAGAAAGATATGTTATTATTTTTTATTTCTTTAATTTTAAGTTGTATATATATATATATATATATATATATGTAGTTCTACCAAGATGCGATAAGCTAAATTTAATTTTATGACAATCTTAGTATTTTTATTATCTTTGTGTGCAATCTATAATAGCCATATTATTCAAATGAATTATTAAAAGGCCAAATACTTTTGGACCACTCTAATTTGGCCATCTAAATATGATAAATAATTAATAATTTTAATATTTTTAATAGATCATAGGATTCTTAGAAAAAATATTTTATATTTCTAATTATCTAGTTCTAAAAATATAATTGGCTAAATATTTAATGTTAAGTACTTTATAAAAAATAAAGAATAAAATTATAGATATTTTTTAGTACTTTTTTAGAAATAATTTGTAATTTTAAAATTTAATTTAAGTTTTATGTTACTATAAAAAATTGTATGCTTCATTCTCTTTGCAAATATATTAGGCTACATGCTCCATGCATAAAAAATAGTGCATATAAAAAGTAATTTTTATAGGTGTTTCAAGATAAGATTAAAAATATCATAATTTTTAATTATTATATATATATATATATATAATTTAAAACTCTAGATAATAGATAGTTTCTTTAAATATATATTTTTGGCAAAATTATTTACTACCACATTAATGTTAAAGTGTATTCTATAATTAATATTGTAAAATATCTTTACAAGTATGAATACAAAGAATATGACCATGAAATTATTTTTTATCAAATCTTATACATATATATATATATATATATATATATATATATATAGAAGGTAATTTAGAAGATTTTAAAGTAATTAGATAATGTTTAAGTGCTTATAATATTTTATTACAAGAAATATGTTAAATAATTTATGATTTAAAGTTGGATGATAAAAGTCATGGTGTATAATGAAAAAATTTACTACAATCTTTCTTATGGAAAATGTTTTTACTTACATTTGTTTTTGTTTTATGTTAGAAGTCTTACTTCTTTGAAGAACTTGTAGAATATAACTATGTGATCTATCTATTATTTTGTGATACAAAACTTCTCTATAGATATTTAAAAGATAAAAAAAATAAATTTGTATAACATAAGTCATTCTTGAAATAGAAATGCCAAATGCAATAAGATTATTTTTTGAATAATTATTTTTTAGAAATATTTTAATTATCAAAATTTTGTAGGATATAAATAGTATTATTCTGAAATAATATTTTTTTGCAGATTACACTTATATGGATGTCTTGTTGTATTCAATCATCAATTTGTAATGGAAAAAAAGGTTATTAGATATTAAATTCCATTGTTTATCCAATAAGAAAATTTTGAATAAATTTTTATGTCTACTTCAAGTAAATGATAAGATTTTCAATCCTGTAATTAGATTATAGAAAGACTAACTACTTGTAGACCATATACTATATAATCAAGAAAAAAATTACAATTCTTTTAATATTATTTACAAACTTAATAGATTTAATATTTTCACATATGATGTAATTGTTTTTTCTAACATTAAAAAAAATTGTTGATGGATTTAAAAATACAAAAAATATATTTTTTTAAAATATATTTTTAATAGATATTAGAAAGAAAGTACAAATTGCTATTGCAATTCTTTCTTTTAGGATTTCATCTTTGTTAGTTCTATATGTACATTAAAAAACAAAAAAAACAAAAAATTCTCTTTCAAAATTTTTTTTCCAACTTGATTGATGAAGGAATTTTTTAAATCATAATAGAATGTATTTTAGAAGGACTTCTTAAAACTACCAATGACTATTAAATTAGTATTTAAAGTTGTAAACAAGTATCTCATTATGTATAGTTTTTTAAAAATTAAATTTTTGTTCTAGTAATTTTGAAGGTATGGAATTTGTAAATTTATTACTATTTCAAATCTTATTTAATATTTAATTTATGTATTATATTTTGAAGTGTAAAGAAAAAAACTTATTTTAGAATAATTTTGTTAATAAAAATGTTATATATGGTGCAAGAGAATTAAAAGTAGATTGGTTATAATAAAAGTGTTTCGTGTATCTTGGTTTAATTGTTACGTTGTTATATACACTAGTCACCCTTCCACAATGGTCAAAGACATGATGATTTGTCGAAAATATATGGTAACTTGAGCTTGGGTATGCAAGATTGCTGAATTTGTAGCCAACGATGAGTACAAAGCAGGATCGGTTACAGCATATGAAATGTCGGAAAACCCTGAACGATACAATTAGATCCTGACAATGAATATGATGCGCATAGCAAAGACATCGGCGCCATGAGGATGTGGGAAAAACAGGTGACTGTGGTATTGGCACACAAGTGCGATGACCGGAGGCAACAGAACGCGTGGAACGCAATCTCAAAAAAACGGAAATCCCAAGCCCAGAGAAGATACAACTAAGAAATAGTAATCTGTACAAGCCTCAAGGGTCACTGGATAATAATGGTCTTGTGTTATTGGTCTAAAAAATTGTGAACCTGTCAATTCCATCACCTGCTATGGTTCAGGCAGCTCCAGGTTTAGTTCCTCTACTCCTCTTCGCTCCGCTCCGCTCGCGGATCCGACCACAGAGCTCGCATTCAAACCCCGCAGATCAGAGGCCTCTAACACAAAAACAGCACGCCGAATGCGGATGCCGCCATGACGGCGACGAGACTCAAGCACGCGGGCACCGAGGTTGCAGTGGAAGGAGGCGGTGGCAACACGGGCGCCGCAGCTGGAGCTTCGGTGGGAGGGAGAGGGGACATGGTAGGAGGGGTGGTTGTGGCGGGGGGAGGGGCCGCGGCCGCAGCCTTCACGTCTATCATAATCTTCATGCCCATTTCGCAGTGGCTGATGACGCTGCAGATGAAGTAGTACTTTCCCGCCGTAGTAAGAGGGATGCTATCCTTCCCAGTCATGTATGTCTGGCCATTACTCTGGGCGCAACTCCTGTACTCGTTGGCAGTCACGACTTGCACATTATGCTGGGTTGCCACGTAGTTGAACACTGCGAGACAAGTGCAGAGAAACGGTTCAGATACATATCACATTTGGATTGATCAAGGAGAGATCAAAAGCTGTCCATGAAGGAGAATAGGAAAAAGGACAAATACTCACCTGCAGAGTCTCCCACAACAAAGTTGTGCTTTGCGGACCAGGTAGCATAATAGTTTGTGTCTGTGCCGGGTGGGTAGTCCCACTTGTTTGTGCCTCCAATGACGTGGTCAACTCCCACTACTGTATGGGCAAATGCGAGTAGAGAGGCAACGAACAAGACACCAACAGCATTGCCTCTTCCCTGAGCCATCCTGCGTTATTAATTCCCAAGACATGAGCTCACGCTGCGTTCGAATTCAAACTGTCGTAATCCCACCATCATACACAACAGAGTCTTAATCGAGATGAATTTGGAATCAACGCATGGACTCCAACCAGTGCGACTGAGAGGAGTAATTCAGTAATCGTATAGACACCATAGAATTTGTTGGAAGCATCGAACCCTATAATTATACCTATCACAGAAGGATTGGTTCACTATCTGCTGTCCAGAACGACTCCAGAGAGACTGCACGTTAGCAGGGAAATCTAAGAACTCTGACTAAGGAAGAGTACAAATGAACCTGTGCACCGTAACCTAGAAACCTAACACTATGACACATCGGCCCAACTGAGTTTCGGGAAATGTGTGTGAACTGTCTCAACGAATTACTGATCGTCAATCTAATTAAAACAGACGACATGGCGGCAGTGCTTCTCAGCGTAACCAGCTTCAGCTATGGTCCATTTCATCAGGATGCAAACAGAGTGTATCCTGAAAGCTGTGCAGGACATGGATTCAGAAGAGAACACATCCACTTCAACCCCCAATAGCCTTGAGTGAAGGACTTAAAACCCTCAACGCACTTTAAAAGAGGATTAACCACAACACATTCACTCTGCACTAGAATGAAGCGTAGAAGGAAACAGAGACTTGCATCTTGACGAAGACCAGATACCCAAGTACAGGATGTAATCAGTAACCCAGACATCTGAAACAGGATTTTCACCTCGGTGGGAGTGTGGCCTGGCTACTGCAACGGAATATGGAGGCAACCCCACGAGTAAGTGCTGGTTGCTCCTGCAGCTCCTTACAGCTCCTAAGCAAGTTCCTGCACTGTTAAGGTGGGCACTCACGACCAAATGAATGAGATGAGAAGCCGCTATGGCGCCTCTTGTACTTAATGAGAGCTGAGAAACACAAAAAATGTGGGGAGAGAAGGAAAGAGCGGTGCTGTGGGGAATGCCGAGTTCGGAGCAAAGCGTCAAAGAAGGCGTAGAACCGGGTCGCCCGTGGGGCCGTGCCAGAACAGACTAGGCTGGTGGCCATCCACTCGACATATCCTCATGACCAAGACATGCTCTGTGATCTGGGCCTCTCACCATGTTACCGAACTTCCCAAATCCCTTTCTGTGGCAATAATTCTGCGTTCCCTTCACTCGTGCGTGAACTGCACTTCCGTTTTGTCTGAGCTGTTCGCTGTTCTCATTCGCAATCGACAACCGATGTCGCACTTCCAAATCATTGATGTCCTTTTTCTTGTCAGGCAGCTAATCCGCAGTTAGGATGTTGAGAATCACATCCCCGTCAACACCTCACTATGATTGAAGTTTTCACCTTCCGAAAGCGTCGTCGTTGTGTAGCAAACGTCCGCTTCTTAAATCCATCTTCGAGCTTGAACTAGACACCATTGCATGCTTTGTTTCATCTACACACAGCTATAGAATTCGTTGGTTTGTGTTGCATCGCATCAAATAAACGTAGAATTTCCATTTGTTGCACACTGTGAAAAACTATGCTTGGTATTTCTGTATCCTCTCCTTCTGCCCGTGGTAAATATCATTCACAAAAACAAAGTTGAACAAAAAAATTAAGAAAACTCTTGGAAGGAATGTATTTTCCCGGTAATATCAGGATGAATTTCAACGATACTACTGTGGCTTTACTTTATGTGTTACCCTTAATTACACTCACACACGCACTTCTCGTTATGTAGCCTAAAGTTGGGGCTAACGATAAATAATACACAGCTGCTTTTTAGGGCTAAAATAGATTCAATGGCACTCTCAACAAAGAACTGTCAAAGGCTTTGCTGGGGTGAGAACTGTTTGCAGCGGCCAAAACCCTACCTCTTCGCGCATTCTAATTTTCTTCCAAAGAAAACCAGTGCAGTAATAGTTTTCAACAATATTAGAAACTATGCGTAATCTGTAAGATACTTTCACCCACATACTACCCATCTAACATTGAAATAAAGGGCTTTCAAAAACAATTAAAATAAGTATTTCTTAAACGTTCTCCTGGAGACACATTTGGACAGCGTGAGCTCTAAGGTTGTGCTAAGGCTATGAGCGTGGCAAAATAGGTCAATGCGGTGACTCTAGATGGGCTTTGGAGGCCACCGTGTTTGAGTTGATTATAGGAAACGGCACAATCCATTGTCAACCCAGTTTCGTTTCTTAACTTAGACATGCTGATAACTTTGGTGGAATCTGCCAGACGTTGCTCACAACCCCTCTTCGCCCACGCCCAAAATATTGTCTTCTGGAAATATTCCTCTGGCTCCAGCCAAACCAAGTCGGGATCCTCCCATGCAGGAATCAGATTTTGGATAAATTTGAGAAATTATAGCTGGCTTTGGAAAGTTTTAAAGGATGGTGTAGCGATCGGAAATTGTGTGGACACAACTCCCCGAAGATGAGGCTAGTTGCAAAATTACCCTGAAGCGGATTAGTGTGTGAAGGATCACGTGTATTAGTATAACATGTATACTAATACACGTGTTTGTCAGTCTCGTTCTTATCTAGGATGTATATTAACCTTGAATCGAACATATTAGAACTTTCATTTTAATTGTGTCACGTTATTATAAAATAAAAAACAAGACATGGCTTCTTCTCAGTTATTACGACTTACTTTATTAGTTGTTTTGAAAAGTATATATTGGCTCTCTTTGCACCTTCTCTTAGATCCTACCTACACACAAAGTGTTCAATGTTCTATGCCATCTTAAACTTTAATGCTTTCATTACTACACCACATGAAAAGCCCCTATTCAAAAACTTGTGATTTGGAACATATTGATCTTTTCTACTAACAAGACATAATTTACATGCATTTGTAAGTGTATCATGTTATGCACTTAGAATTGAATATTTTAAAAAAACTACAATTTCCAAATCCTTGTTCGAATGAATTAGTTTTGATAAGTTTTAAAGTTTGTCATTCTTTTACCGTAGTACAAGAATAAAATCAGAATCCCAATCATGGCCAACATATTATAAGACCCACCGAAAAAGATCAACTAGTCCAATCAAGAGAGCAGTGACCTAACACGCAAGAAGTTGGGCACTAAGTCGTAGCGAAGTGGTAAAGTTGACAATGAGACCAGTAATTGAAACCCTAAAACCGAGGCATGCAAATGGGAGGCTCCTCCAAACCGTCTTCCGAGATCGTTTATGGATGAATGTATTCCCACATGATAACGCTTACTGGATGAACGTTCATCTATCTGATACCCAAGTGGGACAAGAACCGGGCATCAACAGACGTAAGCAAGTTGAATTCCAAGGCCCGTTGATGGCTTCGGCGTGGCGTGTGGCGAAGTCGGCGCGCGTCGACCTTCATCTCACTGGGCAGGTCGCGACGATGGCGTCGGACGCTTCGATCCAACACGTTTGACTGTCAGCGCACGGCTATTTTAATCGCGAATTTGCAGACGAATTGGACGCCATGTTCTGGTGAATTTTTCGTGGAAGATCGTGCCGTTCCGTCACTTGCATCCCGTGCGTCCACTGCAAGGTTTTGTGTTTTTCTTTTTTTCCTCGTCCTTGCTTGCCTGGAACGCTGGCGACGTTTTCTCTCACTCTCTGACACACACACACATGTACACTTGCTCGCAGACGGGGTCACGTATCACGAGGAGCCTCGTTTCCTGATGGTCACTACGCACGGGCCTTAGCCGGACTCTATTGTTGCCCACGGCTACCTTTCAGGACTAATCTCACCCCCCACTCGGAGGTGCTTCCGGAAGGTACTATTATCGCGCTGGAGCCGGTTAATAGGGGGTCCTTTTGAACGAGATCCGGCAACCTGGGCTGAATGCCAGCTGTGGTGACGTAAGCTGTGAAAGCATCGAGTCTCCCTGTGGTCTCACAGAAATGCAACCAGGGATTCGTTTACTGCACCGTAGCAATTCCAGACTTGGGGAAGTGATCGCCTGAATTCCGGTGCTTTACTGCGGGTTTGGGGTTGGGGGTTGTTGGTGGGAGACTTCTTATGTCCCGGTCAGCCGTCACGAGGGGACTTAAATATGTCTTCACTGGTACCGGATTGTTTTTCTTCGACCTCTCAGGAGCGAGTTGTGATGTATGATTGTTGTACCGTTTTGGCTTCATCGGGACCATCGACCTCTTCGCCGGGTCTGTCAACAGTCCATGTTCTGAATGGTTGACAGATGTCAATAGATGATTTTTCAGTAGGAGATGGTGAGTTGACCCTCTAAGTGATCCATCTGACGACAGGATAACACAGTCTGTACAAACAATAGGTTATACGGCAAATTATTGTATCCCAGCTGCTTTTTCTCCATGAAGTGAAAATATTGGGAGAAAATTCTGAGCCCTTGAAAAATGTCTGAAACTGACGTAGTAGAACTATCTGTGATCAAATTTATCTATTTGTTTGTTTGTTTATTGAAAAGTGCTCTGTGGTTTCTAAAATACAAACCTTGAATTAATCTGAGGATTCTGAATTGGTATCGAAGTCTTGAAATGTATCTGTGTACCTCACCTCACCTCAGGTTGCTTACATATATAGAGCAACCATGCAGACAGTACGAAACTTGCGATATTCGCACGCTCTGGAAACGGTTGGCGCTGGTGACGATAACCATAGCAGTAAATATAGCTACTTCTCGTTTTGAAGAGCATGCTATTCTCCGAGACATCTGCTATTATAACAGTAGCTCCGCAATTCCGTATGAGCTTTCTCACAGACGTGCCAACATTAAGTGCAACTGTGGCATCCTCTGCAGATTCTTTTTCTCCAAACAGATACCAATTAGCCAGCCTCAGCTAAGGAAGCCGAGAGAGCTTGAGTGCCCATGGTCTAGATCACAAAGCTTGCAAATGATGTTTGTTGATGAGTGATTGTATGCATGTTCGAGTACCTGTTCTTATCATGGTTTCCTCCGTAGTTCGTCAGTTGGCATGGCACCTAGCCTGTTACACACTTCGATGTTCTGGGTATACATAGGTCTGCAGTCGGTCTCTCAACTTTCTTTCGCTGCGACTCTCCTGCAAGTGTGTTGAAGCTCAGCTGGACTGCTAAGATGAAGAAATTAATATGTTCTAAATAAAACTTAAGACTTAAAACCACTAAAAATCAGTTAGGAAGGGACAAAACATTAAAATATATAATGTTTTTTTTGTTAGTTAATTCACAAAAACTAATAACCTCCAATAAATAATTAACTCCTTTCTATGGTGCATAATTAATAATCTATTTTTTTATAGTAATTAATTTATTTTCATTTTCTTTTATTAATATATAGAGATATTTAGTAGAAGCCATGTGGCTATATTTGATTGAGTGATGCAAGATCATGTAGCTTCCATGGCCATGTGGTTGTACATAATTGGACAAGACAAGGCCACATGACCAAGTGGGTTATATGGCAGCCATGGTGGAAGTAACCAACTTAGAATATAAAGCCTTAGTAAGGATGATTTTCATTGTACTTTCAACATGTACTTTTAATAATTAATATTATTTTCTACAAAAATGATCTCAATTAATAAGTAATAATCTTTCTCTCTCACTATATATATATTTATAATAATGTATATTTGAGTAAAGAATTATAATTGGAGAATTTTAAAATAAAAACTTTAAATTATTTAAAAAATATTTATGGATTTTTTTATAGTTCTTACATCTTATTTTATATTAATAATTTAAATATTTTAATATAATCAATATAAGCATAGAATAAAAATAAAAATATTTATATATTTAATTATAAATAATAAATTTTAATTACTTATTAATATAATTTAAAAAATAATTTGATACAAAAGAGCTTATAATTTAAATATAATATATATATATATATATATATACATATAAATAAAGATTAAAATATGTTGTTATGACATACTGTAGAATAGATAGAAATTGGTTTCTATAGGACATTGATTAGATATTGATAAAATTGATTAATCATCAATTGGACAATCAATTTAGGATGTAAGATGGATGATTTAGTTGAAAAAATTGATTAAGTAAGAAATGTTGGTTGAAATCTCTATTTTGGAGTAAGTATAAATTGGTTGAAGAAGAAGTAAAAAAAGCCAAACTGTGATAGTTATGAGCCGAGATAAGCTTGGTGCTACCTCTTGTTTTTATTTTCTTTATAAAAGAAGGATAATTGATAGATTTTGAATAATGTGAAATGAAATTTTGTAATGAAAGAAAGATTTGATTTATATGATGTCAAATGAGAAATTAAATTTATTGTGTGCTGAATTATAAGTGGAGAATTGGAAAGTCAATAATTGAAGATATTTGTGAAGTATGGATATGAATGGGAGAATTATAATATATTGATTATCAAGAGTTGAGAGTGTTCCATAAGAAGAAGTCTATGGAGTCTAGAATTGTGTGAAGCAGATTACTGGGAATGACAGTTAGTTTTGGAGAATTCTAATGATTGAATTATGAAATGTTTTATATAGTCATTAAAATAGTGCAGTATTACATATTGTTTTTATAAGTTTGGAGAGGAGAAGAGACACAAAATGCATAAGATAGAATTATCAATTATAATATTTTATTTGTTAGAAGAAGAATCGATAGAATATGGAAGGTATTATAGCTTTTTTGGATGTTTTTAGCAAATCAAAAGACAATTAATTGTGTGACCTTAATGTGTAAACTCATATGGATAGTCTTTTCTTGTGTTCAAATTTTCCTTTACAAGTTTATTCTAGGAAGGTATTTGAAGAATAAGTAAAACAACAATTACACATACATAATTTATTCCAATAATTACTTGGATAATATGAATAAATAAAAATAGATTAATTTGATAATATCTTCTAAAAAAACTTCTTAGAAGCTTCATAGATGTGTTTTTACTTTTATATGTATTTATAGGTGATTGATAGATTAAAAACTTGGTTAATAAGTTAGCTATATATTATACGTGTTGGTAGCTTGTGGTACAAGGTAACCATGTGACACATATATAGGAAACTTGTCTTATAAGTTAAGACACGTATCTTACAAATTAGACAAGTTTTGAAGGTCCTAAAGATATTGCTATGTAGCTCTTAGGTATATAGTATATATAGATGCAAGAGTGAAATCTTTTTCACTCTTATCAATTCTTTTTTTGCTTCTAGTATAGTTTCAAGGATCTTTAATTTTGTTGTCTTTTGGAAATAGCCATTCTAATTTCTTTTTATTGTATATACTTCTTTATTTCTATTTTGTCAACTTTCTTTGAAAAAAGTCTTACTTTTTTATTTATTTTCATTCAATTTTTGTCTTTGATAGATTCACAAGAATACACTTATAGTATCAAAGCTTTGTCTTTTCTTGATTAAGAGTCAATTACTCCTTTCTCTTGATATGACATAATGTTATGGATATACATATGTATTCTAGTAAATATCTATATGGTTAAGTAGAAGTAAATAGAAAAAGATAAAAATAGATTAATTTCATAATATCTTATAGAAAAGCTTCTTAGATGCTTTATAGACACTACTTTGATTTAACATGTATTTGTAGTTGATTTCTAAGCTAAAAACTTGATCAAAAGATAAATCATGTATTGGTAGCTTATGAAACAAGCTATCTATGTAGTGCACATATAGAAAATTTGCCTTACAAGTTAAGATACATGTTTTATAAAGTCAACATGTTTTGGAGGTCCTATAAGACATCACCACATAACTCCTAATTAAGAGTAAATATGGAGGCAAGAGTGAAGCCTTCTTCACTCTTATCAATATCTTTCTAATCCTTAGTCTTGTTTCAAGACTTTCTAGTCTTCTTGTTTTTAACAATAGCCATTCTATTTCAATATTATATCATCTTTGAGTGACTTTCTAGTTCTTTTTAGTCATATAAGAGTGTATTGAGGATTTTCTTTCTTCAAGATTCATATCCTTAATAATTTGATAAGAGTACTAACTTACTATTTTTGTCTTATTTTAGAAGTGAGTGGATTATTTCACTTCTATTGTTATATTTTGAAGATTGAAGACTATCTTTTTTTAAACAAAAAATATTATTAAAAATATATTAAAAAATAAGTTCAAAGTCTATGGTAAGAAGTTATATAATTAAAAAAAGTAAGTAGATTGACCTCACAACCAAATTCAAGGAATTTTGCTTCTACAAATATGATAGGCATAAGAATTATTATACTTGAGAAATTTGATAGAATAAGATAAAAAATTTGAGGATTTTTGTAACAAGTCAAGCTTTGTTTAAAATTGCATCTATTCTAATACTTTGATGGATTTACTCAAGTCCTATTCATAGGCACACTTCTATCATGAAGTGCCTTGTCTTAGTTTGCACTTTTAATACAAAAAGATTCGTAATTCTTTTATGATTTGAATTCATTCTTAGAAGTATTTATGGTCACATTCAGAGAAAGTGATTGAGAAAGAGTAGCAAAAACCAAGCTCTTATTGTGATTGCTCGTTTTACTTATTCCGAAAGAAACCTCCCAGAATAAACTCGTATAGGAGGATTCGAATACGGAGAATGACTAGTTGCTTAAGCGTTCACGTTAGGATCACACAATCAATTATCTCTTGAATGTATTGTCTCTATTTCCAATATCTGAACACACAAAGAAACTATAATTTCCTCCTTCACCTTATCGGTCTCTTCCTTACAACAATTCAATCATACCAATAACTGCTATTTCTACCAATAACTGCTATTTCCACCCTCATAATCTCCAACTGTAATACTAAGCCCTCACAACTTTCAGTAAACAATTACCCTCATTCCAATCACTGGAATTCTTAGTACAGAACTGCCATTCACATTATGGTGTTTCACACAAACACAAACTCATTCTCTCTGCTAAACTACAATCAGATTTCAGCATTCAATCTTTCTTCTTCTCAAATAATACCAATCACATTTCCATTCCATAATTCACTTCACAATATTCAAAAACTCTCAATCCTCTTATTCAAAGAAAATAACAAACAAAAGAAAAGAGGTAGCACTAAGCTTACCCCAGCTCACAACTATCACAGTGATGGCCCTTGGCTCATGACTATCACAGTCTGACACCTTGATTATCTTCTACAACTTCTATATACTTTCCCCTGATTCTCCATATTTTAACAGTAATTCTGTAATTAACCACTTTTAATAACTAAATCACTCATTCATCCTCTTAAATTTCCTATTATATGGACTATTAATATATTTTATCAATATCTTTCAAAAACCAATTAATATCTATTCTACATAATTCTACTCCTATCTATGCAGTGTCCTCGCAAACATTCAATTGATATCTATCTAAAAATTATCTAACAAATCTTCACAAAGTTACTAGTTCCTTTGGCCTATCTAATTAATCAATTGCTGCAGTATCTGTTATTGGTTCCGTCGATTCTGATTCCAACTGCAAATCTTCGTCCTCCTCCAATCCTTCCATCGGCTCCTGCCTCAACTGAGCTGAAAGGTCTTCATTGTACTCGCCCAGTTCACGGACTTGAGTTTCTAATTTTAAGATCTGGGCATCTCGAAGTT